TGATCGGATGGTTAGCTTATATTAAGTCACGAGATGATATATTGATATCCCATTGTAACTACTCAAACCATATCGGATATTTGATTAATCAAACTTTATTAAACTCAATTTCACTTAATGGAAACAATTAGGTTGGACTGAGTTTGGCAATTGAACTCTCACAAAAAAAAAATTGGAGCAACTGAATGCAATCAAATTTTGATTGAGTTCAATGAAGTTCAACAGTTCAAAATGGAATGCACTCAATTAAAGTTTGCAAAGAAAGAATCCGGTTGAAATGGAACAATGCCATACATCAGTGTTACAAAAGATGGCACAGCGAACAAGAGGGCAAAAAACCACTGGATGAAGATCAACCATTGCATTGATCAACAAAGATCTTGAAACTGTCGAATGCCATTTTGAATTCATATATATTTTAACTCCAGATGACATCGCTTACCAAGATATTGATCAATATTTTATTTCTTTGAAGTACATGTTCATTGAGGGATTTTGTGTATGCATCAAGCTGTTTAAAGGCCTCTTATAATTATACTGAAATAACAGAGTTCATTTTACGGACTATCACACTGTTGATTTAACTCTGTTATTGCTTTTAACTGTATTCCTAGCATACATTGTGTATGTGGGAGCCTTGTAATTTACCTCATAACGTCGCTTGACAACCCAAAACAAGATTGCTCACACCAAATCAGCGTATTCATATTGTAACTGACTCAATGAAAAAAAAAACAACAACAACAACAACAAAAGAAAACATTAAATTCTACCGAATCAGCTTTTTGAAGTTCATTGCATTGCTTGGCTTGTTATGCTCGTATCTTTTGCCGCTTTTTTCTTTGCAATCTTGCCCTAATCACCCATGTGGCAACTAAGAGAGTGAACACGTCTATTAAAATCTAATGCTGATAGCTTTTTTTAAGCTCATAGCTTCAGTTAAGTTCAGCAGCTTTCATCCTTTGGGGGAAAAATATTTTAAATCTATTAATAAATTCAT